TAGCACTTTTGACATTCTTAGAAGGTTTTGGAACTTGAAGCTTGAATATTGAATGTTTGAATGTTGAATGTTTGAACTCTCAATTATGTCTCAAAGATATAAAATAGCAGCGCTTGAAATAGATAGTATAAATATATTCCGCTTTCCGCTATCTCCCCTCATAGGCCGCAAACAGTGCCGAGATGATCCAGGTCATATAAATAGGCGCTCAGAGATTATTCCCATGGAGAGACAATTAAGATGCAGTGTCTGTCCAGTTAATCAACTGCGCATGTGCAAGTGCTGTCACTGCAGAATAGGTATTGCCTTGCATAGCATAGCATAGCAATTTGCGCAATGCTGACTACTCAGACATGTTGTGGAGGCCTCATAAACCACAACCACCATCACCACCACAAACCCCTCACCGTCGGATGACGTGAAAACCACTAGCAGAAGAAGAAGTTACGTCCATTGGGAGGCATGAATTCAGCTTATACTCGCAATGCAGCTCAACAAAGCTCTAGATGTCTGGAAAGGCAGGAGTCTTTACCAAGTCAACGGGTAAGCATGATTTCAAATATGAAGAGGGTTCAGAGGGATGCAATGAGCTGAACCATTTGCATGTAAAGCCGAAACCAGGCAGCTTCAGGTTGAAGAATGTCGTAATCAACGACGGGGAATTCGTGGCAAGAAAAACTGTGCATGTTACGAGTCATAACTCACCGTCCGATATATCAAGTAGGAATGGTCTCTGACTTGCTAGAAGAATATGCTCACTTCCATTATCCCAGAAAGCTTCGAGAGACTACAAAAACTTGTTTCACCTTCTGCTTTCCATGACTCCGCCCAACGCGTCGACCCTCCTAGATGTCATCCCGCTACTCGAATTATGATCTTACAAACGATCTTCGATTGGATTATACAGTCCGGACATCAGCAATCCGAACGGATTCTGTGGTTGAACGGTGCCGCAGGCGCCGGGAAATCCGCAATCATGCAATCCATTGCAGAGCGTTGCGCACTCGCTGGGATAGCCGTCGTCAGCTTCTTCCTTTCTCGATCAGATTCCAGTCGAAATACCATGGCGTCGTTGGTTCCGACACTAGTTTATCAACTCCTTCAGAGAATTCCAGAAACCGCTAATGGTATATTAGAAACCATAAAGAAAAATCCACTCATCTTCGACCTTGGGCTGGAATTTCAATTCCAAGAGCTCATCTTCCGACCACTTTACCTTCTTCCACCCGACCTACAGCAACTCTTCGTGATATTTATTGACGGTCTGGATGAATGCATCGAGCTGTCTCACCAATCAAACTTGATCAAAACGATTAGCAAAGTCCTCAGCAACGCTAATATCCCCGTCAAATTCCTCATTGCTAGTCGGCGAGAATCCCAAATTGAAGCATCGTTCGGACAGAAGGATGTCATCAACCTTCTTCGCATAGTTCCGCTAGATAAAATACAAGCATCAGACGATATTCGACGGTACATACAGGCTAGATTCGATGATATAAAGAAGACGCACCTACGAAAAGCCTACTTGCCTGCGTCATGGCCACAGCCAGGAGACATAGAAGAAATCGTCGCGAAGGCTTCGGGCCAATTTATTTATGCATCGGTCGTTATGAACTACGTTTCGTCGCATAGTGCCCACCCGGTGGTACAGCTCGACGTGATCAAAGGCATTAGACTCCGCAGACCCTCATCCGAAAACCCGTTCGCCCACCTCGATGCGCTTTATGAGCATATATTCTCTAGGGTGGAAGACCTCGACCTCGTACGGAATATTTTGGCAATGACACTTATCGATCTAAGAGACTGGCCGTGTTCCAGGGATATAACTGTCCTCGAGGCATTATTTGGATTGCACCCCGGCGAGCTAGAAACCCTATTCACAAGTCTAACAGCGGTCATACAGTGCGACACTCCGTCCTCTAATTATTATTCCTCGAACCAACCCTGGGGTAATTGTATTTATGGATCCATGAAGATCGTATTCCTCCACGCTTCCCTTCCTGATTTCTTGCTGGACAAAACCCGTTCCGACAGATATTTCATTGATCTGACGGAGTACCGCACTTCATTGTTGTATGGATTTTTGCAGATGCCGGGGAGAAAGATGCTGTCACCAACAGACCAATGGAACGTAGTGTTGGATGGCAGCTGGCGCTTAAATGCAATTGCGAGCCTTCTTGAGAATGCTAAAGCATCAGAGCAGCTCCGCAGCGCATTCATGGACTTTGTATTGGTATTTCATGATAACGACTTCGTCAATGCTCAAAGGCGGGTAGGAATCCTGAGCTCCTTAAAAATGCTGGTGCGTCACAATACATGCGCTACATTCTTACCTTACTGACTTTTTTACCCTAGAACTTCGGGGACCAGGGAGAAGCATATCGACACGTCCTAAACATGTTTGCTAAAGGATATGCGAAATTCTGGCCACACTTCGATGAATATGTCGTAGCTACAGTGAAAGCGTACCCAGACCTTCTGGCATACGTTAATCATCTGCACGGAGAGTTAAATTCACTGCAAGAATCATAGTGTTAGTGACACCAGCGTACGCTATGAGCACATAGAAAGCTGCGCGATGACTACAGATGTATAGAATAGACCAAACTTGTATATTATTCCAAATGATAAGCATTCTCTCCTCCAGGCCTGATAATGTGGTAGATAGAATGAAAAGGACCACTCGCAAAGCCTCATACGGCACATTCACCCATCGAATCGCATCGCTTATCCTAACATGGTCGCGCGAGAGGTGCGGGACAACACGACGCGATGTCGTTGTCAGAAAACCCGGAGTCGTGATCTCGATGTCGGCACCCGAAATGAATTGGAGATTGGAGGGATAAAGAGAACGTGGATATGATGGGATGAGGGGAAGCCATAAAAATCTAGCGCTGATCCGGATTCGAGGGATGTATAGATAAGATAAGATTATGGGACCGTTGAAAGAAGCTTACATAGTGACTTTACGTTGGGAACCCAACGGTAGCGCACGGCTATTCAACCAGGGAAGGACATCTTATCCTTCTGAATGACGCATAGTAGCGCTGTAAATTGGTAATAATACATTTCACAGCACCACCTAGCTGGTACGATATTGAAAAATAGCCTCCAGGCATATTGAGAACCGTCAAATATAATGTGGCACTATACACCGCACCTTCCATTTTCCAGAAATTAATCTAATGCTTTCGTTGAAGAATCTGTACTGCTAAATTATACGGAGAAGTAAAAGATGCGGTACGGTCTGTGGTGGCGTTTTCTTCTATGGCTCACATGACGAAGGCAATATTGGCAATCGATGTGAGAATGGCGTCGAACTTACTTTCCTTTTGCCGCAGGGGGAACATTGTAAGAAATGCGGTGTGCAATTGTGGCAGTCACGTACTACTGGAGAGTAATAGGGCTATATCATATTACAAAAGTCTTTCAATCCTGGTCACCTTCAACGCTTCTATTACGAAACGAAAGGTCAGACCAGCCGTGCATCCTCGGTATCTCGTGGACGAACGCACGTTTCAGATCAGATTTACGTCTATGCTTAAGAAATATTGATACGGCGCTCTTCTGCTCGTCCTTTGGTGTATAAAAGCTCGTCCTGTCGTGAAGACCCAACATCACCCTTTACGATGAAATTCACCAACGCAGTTTACAACGCCCTTTGTGCTCTTTCTGTCTGTATTTTAGTCATCCCCGTCGAGATAAGAACATAAAACTGACCTCCCTCTGACAGGCCGGGGTTATGGTCATGGGGGTACTTATACTTCTCATGGATGTTTCAGGTGATGCTCTTCGTCTTTCTTCATCAAGAGATTATTTGATTGACTGGGCACTACCAGCGACTCGGCGGATCACCCAGGTCTCACCGCGTCCAAGCTTTTGAACCAGACAAAGTTCACTACTGATCAATGTTTTGACTTTTGTGGGGCACATCTGTACAGTGGCCTCGAAAATGGAAGGGACTGCTGTACGTCTTTAATCCTGGACCCTGTCTAAATTTGAAGTCAAAATTCACCAAAACTTTCGTTTTTGTATACCAGATTGCGGCGATATTATTGAAGGAGATAGCATGCCGATCAGCCCAGATGCTTGCAATGTGCTTTGCACTGGTGAAAATGTAGAATGCGGCGGCGTTAACGCCATTCAAATCTTTGAACTGAGCGACTATACGCCACCTCTCCCTCCTGTCCTTTGGACACCCATTGGGTGTTATACGTAAGTGCTTTATCCAAGCATTGTCAGGGATGGTAGCGCTGAAAGAACCCAGCGATTTACCTTTGTCGAGGACGCTTAGGACAGGATCGTACTTCAGCGCGACGTCTATGGCCCTTGATAGTTGTGAAGGGTTCTGTGATGCAGGCGGCTTCACATATGCTGGCCTTGAAGATGGAACTGTATATCTTTTTCTTCTTCAACACGCTGGTTGTGAGAAAGGACGCTGATTTTTATACATATTCCTATCTCTCACAGCAATGTTGTGAGTTTTATTAATGACTGCAACGAGACAAGGATTACCACTAACGACGATTAACAGATTGCGACAACACAATTCACGCTCCTGGAAAATTAGTTGACCCTTTGTATTGCAACATTCAGTGCTCTGGGGATCCCGACAACACTTGCGGAGGATCGGAGACAATTGAGATCTTTGAAAAGGTCAAGCAGTGAGATTGTGACAGGGGAGGCATTCCCGGCGCTGCGAATTAGGCTACTATTGGACGGTCCAAAGAAATTTTCGCTTTACCAAAATCTATATTTCGTAACGTTCTTGGAATCAATGATATGAAGTTGCGAATTACATAAAGGCTGAATTGACTGCGAAAAAATCGTTCGTTGGTTAGAGGTGCCGACAGGCTTTAAAAATCAGGTTCAATATATCGAGATTACCTCAAAAAAGACAAACTTTTGTATATTATCGAACGAACTTCAAACGCTCAAACTTCAGAGTCCAGAAGCAGGCCAAGCCTGCACAGAGAATCAAAAGGAATAAAATGGTTTCATTCCGGTACGGGGAATCGAACCCCGAGCTACCGCGGCCACAACTGACTATTATGAAAGGCGGTAATGTTAGCCGTTACACCATACCGGATTAACATGGGCGCCTATTTATATATCCACAATCATATATATCCAAATGGGACATATACGCTCTGCCGTACGCCCTTTTTAAATTTAAGAGCCTCATGTTGTTCCGCGGTGCTAATACTTAGGCCACGGACAACCTGGACCGGAGAAATCAGCAGCCACATGGCTGATACGAAATAGCTGAGTCAACCACGAAAACCATTCAAAATGCAACGTGGCTGCAATGACACGGGCGCCTATATGCAGTCGCACCCATAGCACCTTTTCATATCTCCAAGCTTCCACAAATCGCGTTTCGAAGTCATTCTCTCAGTGAAACACTGTTTCCTCGTTGGATGGAAATGGCGTGCTGTAAGAAACTTACGTAATTCACTCAACCGACAGATTTTTTCGTTCCCCTCGTTTTCGACAATCTCCACAGGCAGACTGACGAGCAGACTGCGTGCACGCAATCTTTCTCATATATGTGCAAGTTCGTACGTGTTCATGGTACGTGCGAAATTTGCCCACTCCCCGCATTCCTTGTCCGAAACCATTCCACAGCTTAGAAAATGGCCGCCACTGCTCTCGACATTCCGATCGAACTCGTAGAGCTCATCATTGACCAAGCTGCTGCTCTGAGCGATCGTGAAACCCTTCGAACGCTCGCACTTACCTCCAGGAACTATGTCGCTCGATGCCAGAAGCACCTGTTCCACACCATCGATCTCGGGGATCGATGCATTCCAGGCAGCGAATACTACCGGCGGTTGTACAACATCCTCGCTATACGGCCTTCGTTGTGCGGGTATGTGCGCGAGCTGCGCATGCACGACACATACGTGTGGGACAAGGAGTCGAATTGGCGGTGGCTTGTCGACGAAGAGAGTATCTGCGATTTGCTCGACTTCCTCCCTGCGTTGACGACGTTTGCGCTCACGTTCAACGCCGCGGTGCCCTCGTGGATGGACTTCAAGCCTTCGATTCGCAACGCGATTATCCAGCTAGCGCGGCGACCACTGCTACACACCTTCGCACTCGCCAACGTCAAGAACTTCCCCGCGAGTCTGCTCGTTACGCTCGTCACGATATCCAGGCTCGAGCTCAGCAATGTGCAGGTGCAGGACCTATCGGTGACGACGCCGCTGGAGGTGGTGTTGGGGATCGCGTCAATATCGACGCCGGGTGTTAGGGAGTTGACTCTGCGGGCACCGTCGGCGGGTCTGTTGCTTGTTCTTAGAACAATCCTGTCAGCATCCGTGCACCCCACGCTCACCACTCTACGCGTTCTGATGTTGGACGCCGCAGACACATTGGCCACTCTGGAACTTTGGAGTCTGATGCATTGGGGGGCGAACAGCATCACGGAATTCGAATGGCGTCCGGCGGTGCGCCCGCGCACGCCTGCTATACGTTGAGTCCATTCCTCTATGTATCTTTGTGTTCTTCTGTTCACCCCCCGCAGGACCCCCCGCGCCCATCGACATCTGTATATTCAGGCGTCTCGCTGCGCTGCATTTCATCGTCAACTTCCATTCCGAATCCCAGCCCGTTTTCGCCGCTCTCATCCCACTGCTTCAGCAAATCTCTTCCGGGTCGTACTTCCACACGCTCAAGATTGAGTGCACGTTCCTCCGCCCTGCAGAGCTAATCGCGTGCCAGCGTGACTGGGGCGCGCTCGACGAAGCGTTGTCGCAGAGCGCCTTTGATGGTTTGAAAGAGGTCGTGTTCTACGCACGGCAGCGCGGACCGTCGAGAGGGGAATTGGTGAAGACGATTCTCGACGAGCAATTACTGCTGGCGAGAGCAAGAGGAGTGAAAATCTTGGTGGATGCCAGCTTGCGGTGACGATGGTCTTAGGGATGGGTGTGAGTCTGGATTTATTTTTACACTGGATCTGCTGTGCTGTTTTCATGCTGTAGCGTTCATTTTTAGACTTAGAGTATTCGCATGGATTTTTATTTACACGAGAACATATGGACGGATATCATTTGCATTTGAAAAGGAACAATTTGTCTGTGTTCAATCCGCACGCTTCCCCTAACTTACGATGCCCTTAGGAGTAACCAGCAATCGCCCCGCTGAACCCAACAGCGACACTATCCCTGATACTGGTGGCCTGTGGAAGGAGCGCGCTCTGTGAGCAGAGGGACATACGTCAATGATTAGCTCTCGAGAGCTGCAGATGGACCCACAGGACAAATTTTCAGGAGGCTATCAGCGAATTTTACAGCAGTGGTGTTGAGGCTCTTGAGATCTGCGAGAACGATCGCCGGAACGCCTCCCAAGGGAAGAGCTAATACGAAACAACAACGCTAAGTTCTTGAAGAATGTTGCATCAAAATGAAGATTCGAAGTTCGTAACATACCCTGCAACGCCGCCTTCTTCTTCACGAGGACAGTCAGGGCGTCAAGAATGACAGGCTGGATAGCTTGGACGCTGCTGAGAATAGTCTTCCCGTCGGAAAGGCTGAGAAGGCCCGATGTTGCCTGAAAGAAATCAGAATACACGGGACTATTAGCAAAACATTTCCCTCGGCGCGGCAGCCAGGTCAGTCACCTGTATGTCAGTCGTCGCAGTTCCGAGGTCGTTGATGAGTCCTTGGGCCTCCGTGTGGATCACCTATTGACAGATCGTTAATGGCATCGAGGCATCTAGAGGCATAAACCTCACCAAAGCACCAGCGACTGTTCCCCCCGTGTTGGGGTACGCGTTGATGCTCTTGTCGAGCGAGGTAACGGCCGTCGACAGGGTAGTGATATCAGCTTCGATCTTGACCACGGTGGCGAGTGCGGCGGCGGAGAAGGAGAGGATGGTTAGGAAGGATTTTATGATGTAGACCATGGCGAGTATCGTGCGAGGACTGCGAAGTGTTGGATTACTGTTTGAATGCTTCCAGACTCTGTAACGCAGGTTGCGCTGCCGAGCTCTTTTTATACATCTGTCGGGCGGGTTCCATGCGCACACTGGCCACCCCAGATCAATAGTGGTGAGCACATCATGTTCATAATGAACCAGAATCGGTGATTCTGTTTTCTCCGTTTCAGGAAGCCTGATGGATATTTTTTAGGTCGAGGAGCTGGAGCACGAAAAGAAGAGAGGAGCTAGAAGCGCGAAGCGCGTACCCCGGACAGATTTCAGAATCCGTCGCGCTATATCAAGGAATGCGCACACTGCTGCAACTGTAAAAGAATTGGCCATAATAGCATAGGAAGCGTGCATCGTTCTGTCAACCAAAGAGAAGCGCATGAAAGCGCATGAAAGCGCATGAAGCGAAATGGATACCTTAGTCGTTAAAATGGAAGTAAGTAAGAGAAGCGAGTCATTGCCTCGTACGTACTTGCGTTCGTCGTGGAGGGAATGAATCAATGGCGATTGAAATGGCAAAACCATGCGCTTAGAGGATTGCCGCTGAATCGAACGGTACCTTCTGGCATTTAGTTTCCTTTTGAATAGTTATAAATTAAATTGTTGTTCCACTTCCGCCGTACTTGTATCCAGATGCACAGATGGACCAGAAAATGGACGTCTTTAAGCCAAATTACGTTCGGCGGTGGCTGGGCGCTTACTTACTAGTACGATGCATCATGATATTCACTCCCGTCAATTGCATATGCGTGTTATGGTATGTTTTGAGACTGACATAAATTGCAATATACTATGAACTCCAAGAAGTGTGATTCAGTAACAATACAGACTCAGGTAATCGTATAAATTTCTTCAGTACGCCGCTGCGCCGTCTACTATCTTGACGCCGGAATTCCCTCCCAACCTCACTCTCTGATCTTTTCGAAGATTTCAATCCTATTGGACCCCCCGCAAGTGTTGTCGGGATCTCCAGAGCATTGGATGTCGCATTCCAAAGCGTCGGTCAGTTTACCAGGAGCGTGGATTTTGTTGTCGCAGTCTGGAAATTAACATTAGCAACAAAATTCATCTCATTGGTCTTTCAGACTCACAGCATTCCTAAAATTATGTCAAGTTCAAAATTGATTGGAATTGCAAACAGATGAAATGCGTACATTTCCACCTTCCACGCCAGCATAGGTGTAATGGTCTCCATCACAGAAGTCCTCGCAATCTTCAAGGCTCATGTCATTCGTATCAATGTACGATCCGGCCCTCAGCGTTCTGGACAAAGGGTAATCACTAGAAGCTTCAATAAGCACTTGAAATCCAAATACAATTACATTCAAGTTCGACACTTACGTGTAACACCCAAGAGGCGTCCAAAGGGGAGGTGGTACATAGTCCTTCACCTGGAAAATCTGGATGGCGTTAACGCCGCCACAGTATGCGACGCCCCCTGTGCAGAGCACATTACACGCTTGATACCCAATTACAACGCTTCCCCCTTCGATCGCTTCACCGCAGTCTAGTGTATAAAATAGAACGTGGGGTGAGTGTCAAGTCGCAAGGGAAAAAGATATACGCACAACAATCTTTCCCATCTTCGACGCCACTATATAAAATCGGTCCACAAAATGCCTGGCACTGGTCAATACTAAGATCCGGCTGGTTTAAAAGCTTCGGCCCCATAAGAGCTGGGTGAGTCGCTGAGTCGCTGATGACAGTCTCCAGTCATGACACAATTTACGACGAAGAATGATAAATCAACGTTACTTGAAACAACCCAGAGAGGTATAAATCCCGCCATGAGTCTCAGCCATGGCTGTGGCGCCTAGCTGTAAACTATGAGTCTGGATATTTCTTCAGAACGCCAGAGGATACACACCGAAAGAGCAACGAGGGCATTGTATATGAGGTTGGTCCACTTCATCGTAGAGCGGTTATACTAAATGCGCCACCAGTCAATGGGCTTTTATACCCCGCAGGACGAAGGCGAGCATCCGCTGCGCATCGAGTGTTACTTTGATTTCGAGTCTAATTTTGATGAGAGGCTGATTCAAAGCGCATTTTCGCCCACAAGAGTGACGCAGATGAAGCCTCTGATTTCATAATGGAAGCAGTGGCGAACGTGCGAATCGCTGGCAGAATAACCTAGTATTAAAGCCCTATTACTC